GGGGATGGAACCTTCCAGAAGTGGGCGGCTGTGGTGGTGCCTTCTGGAGAGGAGCAGAAATACATGTGCCATGTGCAGCACGAGGGGCTGCCGGAGCCCCTCACCCTGAGATGGAGTAAGGAGGGGATGGGGAGTCAGGTCTCTTCTCAGGGAAAGCAGGGGCCCTTCTTGAGCCCTTCAGCAGGGTCAGGGCTGAGCCTGGGATCAGGCCCCTCACCTTCCCGTCCTTTCCCAGAGCCGCCTTCCCAGCCCAGCGTCCCCATGGTGGTCATCGTTGCTGGCCTGGTCCTCCTTGGAGTTGTGCTCACTGGAGTTGTCATCGCTGTGATATGGAGGAAGAAGAGTTCAGGTGGGGAAGGGGTGAGGGTGGGGTCTGGGTTTTCTTGTCCCACTGGAGGTTTCACGCTCAGGCAGAAGTGTGCCCTGTCTCATTCAGGGGCCATGTTTGCTCACACTTGCTCTATTGTAAAGGATATGGAAAGTGAAGAACAAATTTATCACCTTGACGATTGTGGTAATGGGGACTTGAATCCCAGAAGTCACCGGTCACAGGGACAGGTTCCTGCTGAGGACAGACCTCCAGGAGGGCAGTTGGTTCAGTCCCTCCTTTCCTCATGTTTCTTAATCTTGGCCTAGATCTTCAGTCACAGTTCTGGAACCTTCTCTGGGTTCTAAGACTAGGGGGATTTTCTAGGACCTCATGGCCCTGCCTGTTCTCTGGCCTCTCACAGGGCATTTTCTTCCCACAGGTGGAAAAGGAGGGAGCTACACTCAGGCTGCCTGTAAGTATGGGGGACTTATCCCTGAGACCTTTGGGATAGTGTAGACAGGAGCCCATGGGGGAGCTCCCCCACCCCCTAATTCCTCCTTGTAGCCACATTTCCTGAGGCTCTGACCAGGTCCTGTTTTGTTCTACCACAGGCAACGACAGTGCCCAGGGCTCAGATGTGTCTCTCACGGCTTGTAAAGGTGAGAGCCTGGGGGCCTGATATGGGAGAGGTGGGGCAGCGGGGACACAGCTGGGCTTCTGGGAAGTCTGTGATTGGGACATTTTGAGTGTGTGGTGCCCTATTCAGAGTGTCACCACTTACTGTGACTGACCTGAATTTCTTCCTGATTATTTTTTTCTACAGTGTGAGACAGCCGCCTGTTGGGACTGAGCGATGCAGGATTCGTTCATGCCTCCCCTTTGTGGCTTCAGGAGCCTCTGACTTCTCTCTCTGCAAAGGCACCTGAATGACTCTGCGTCCTTGTTTGTGTAATGTAATGGGGTGGAGAGACCAGCCCACCCCTGTGTCCTGCCCACTCCTCCACACTGATCTGTGTCCTGTGCCGAATCATCTCTCCTGTTCCAGCGAGGAAGGGCTGGGATGTCTCCATCCCTGTCTCAGCGTCATGGTGCACTGAGCTACTTCCCTACTGAAAATAAGAATTGAATAGAAATTTGTTTTCTCAAATTCTTGTAATGAGAGGTTGATGAGTTAATTAAAGGAGGAGTTTCCTAAACTTTGAGAGTGGAAATAAATGGAAGACCTGGGAACCTTCTAGAATCCTTGTGTTTGCTGTGCTGAGTCTGTTGCAGGTGGGGACATGAGAAGGCTGTGAGGAGTTGGACTGGGCTGTGCCCAGTCTGTGCTCAGTCTATCATGGGCTTTATGAGGTCACCCCTTGGCTGTATCATCTTCACTGCTCTGTTGTCCTTGTCCCAGTAGAGCCTTGTCCAGCAGGACCTGTGATGACAGAGGCTGAGACACTACCCAGGGCAGCCCCTGCACACGGGAGTCTCTGTGGTATCAAAAGATGAACTTTCAGACCCAGAAAGCTCTTGCCCTTCTTCTAGGTCTCTTTCCTGTATTCTGTTCTCCATCTGTTCCCCAGACTTTTTATTCCTTTATTTATTTTTTTTAATTTTTATGCATAGATGATAATTGTCTATGTTTATGGGGTACATGTGATATTACGGTATAAGCATACAAGGTGTAATGATCAGATCTGGGTAATTAGACTATCCATCTCCTGAAACGTTTATGATTTCTTTGTGTTGGGAACATACTAAATCTTCTCGTCTAATTATTTTGAAATATACGGTGAATTATTAACTGTGATCACCTTACTGTGCTACCAAACACTAGATCTTATGCCTTCTATCAAACTGTATTTTTATACCCATCCCAGCCTCTGGTAACCACCATTCTATTCACCACCTCTGTGAGGTCAGTTTTTTTAGCTCCCACATGTGAGAGAAACATGAGACATCTGTCTGTCTGTTCCTCGCTTATTTCTCTTGACGTAACGACCTCCAGTTCCATCCGTGTTGCTGCACCCAGCCTTTTTACAGGAACCCAATTCTGGAATTAGAGAGGACGGATTCCACCATTTCTTAGCTCAGATAAATTCCTATTAGGTTCCTATCTCCTCTGCCCACCTACTCCGATCCCTGTCCTAGTTCTAGTAATCCTGTTGCTGGCTGAAATCCAAACTCATGGATTTATAAAGTAGGCTCTAAGTTAGATGTATATTTGTGTGGAAAATTGGACCCATAGTCAAGGATGATGGTTATTCCTAGGGGAGGAATATCTCTGTGTGCTGCAGTGTGTAGGAAAGTTGTGTGGGAGGGAGGGAGGGAGGACACAATAGCACTGGTGAGAAGAGCGCAGGTGGCGTTGATGTCAGTGTGTAAGGACAATGTCAGTGTGACAGGACACTGTGCTGTGTCTGCCACAAAACAGCACTTGCCCTGAGGCTACATTAATAAAGATCCTGTGTCTAGATTAGGGAGGTGCTCTACAGTGATCGTTCATTCCCCTGTTATTCGTCGGCCAGATACATGACAGACTGTTCCTGCATGTGAGGAACATCGTTAAAGTAAAAACAGAAATATTCCTGGCCTTGTGCAGCGTATGTTCTAGTGGGAAGAGACAGACTATGTTCTACGAGCAGAGCAAACAAGGAAAGTGTTTCTGTTAGAAGATGGTGAGTGTTATAGGGGAACATGATCCAAAGTGTGGGATGTGGGGACAGGCAAGATGGCTGTGGCACTGGGGGTTCAGCGTGGCCCTTGTTGCAAAGAAGGGAAAGCATGGAAGCTTCGAGCTCTGAGGAAAGATTTGAAGGACACGATGAAGTATCTGTGAGGATGCTGGGAAGTTCTTTCCAGGCAGGGGAAGCTCAGCGCAAACGCACCGGGGCAGGAGGGCGTCTGTGCTGTGGGAGGAGGGAGGAGGCCGGGAGGCTGCACAGAGAGCAACTGAGATGAGGTCAGAGGTGGGGCTGGAGCCGGTGGGTCCCAGGGTGTGGGGAGGGTCTGACCTTTGCTCTGAGTGAGATGGGGACTTACAGGACAGTTCTTGTTATGGTTTGAAGTGTGAGAAAAGACCACTTAAGACCGAAAGTGAGCCAAATTAGGAGTCTTTATTAGCTGGCCAGCGACTACCCTCTGCACCACCACAGACGGCTGCACAGAGAGCAGTCCCGAGCCAGGAGAGGCCAGCTCTTTTAAAGACAAAAACCATACACTGATAAATCATCTAATTGCTTGCATAAGCACAGTTATAGAAGCAAAAAAGCATTAGTCCTAACCATGGTAAAATCTTTTCTTGGGCCGACATGGTCTGGAAGGTTTTGGGAATTCTCCCCTTTTCTTAGATGAGTTCCGTAGGAGTTACAAGTCACAGCTGCAACTTTACTTTGAAGCAAGTACAACAACATTAATCTTAGCTAAAATACATTTGACATCTCATTATCCAAGCTGTATCACCTTCCACACAGGAGGCACTGCTGGGCGGCTCAGTGCTCCGGGGCGCTCCAACCCTCTGGCCCAGGCTACTATTTTATCTCGTGGACACCTGTGTGAAAGGCACCGTTTTCTTCCTTTCATTCTTAGGTGCCCTAACGAAGGCAAGATAGCAGGTTCGGGGTCAGTAAGGGTCAGCTGAAAACTTTCCACTCTCTTAAGCAAGCAAGCATAATACAGAAGCCAATGGCTGGTTATTTGCTGCTTACGGTCTCTAGGCCCTAACATTCTGAGCAGAAGAGGACATGGTGCAACTTCCCTTTTTAAAGTGTCTGTCTGGCTGCTGTGCTGAGAGCAGAACTGAGAGGCGGGAGGAGCGAGGAGTGGGGGAACAGCGGGAAAGGAGGGCAGGTTCCAGGCTGCAGGTGGCGGCTGAGCAGCGGACATCCAGGGAAGCGCTGGGTTCTGGATCCATTTTGAAGATGGACTTTACAGCGTCTCCTAGTGCATCTGGGGTGTGAGAAGAGGAGTCCAGGAGGACACGCACAGTGTGGGCTGTGTGAGCGGAAGGACGGAGCTGCCGTCGGTGGAGATGGGGACGACTGTGGCAGGGCGTGTTTGAGGAGGGGGCGTCGCAGGCATTCAGTGGAGGAGGCGCCACCAGGAGTGCAGGGGAGGGGGCTGGGGTGGCAGCTGGACAACAAGTCTGGACTTTAGGAGAAATGTCTGGGCTGGAGGAGTAGATTTGGGGGGGTGACACCATGTAATTGATATTTAAAGCCTTGAGCGGGGATGAGGTCTCCAAGGGAGTGACTGGCTACGGAAGAGAAAGGGAACAAGGGCTGAACCCTGGGCCTCCAGTGCTGAGGATCTGATCCGACCACACGCCCAGAGCCGACTGCACAGTTCCAACACCGCGTCCAGAAGGTGCAGAGACCAGGGAGCCCCAGACTATACCATATGTGGGAGTCCCCTGGATGTGGCGCTGAGACACAGAAAGTCAGGAGTGGAGCGTGACGTCCCGTGTTCATGACAAGGGTGGTTCTGATCCTGCTGGTCTTTGGGTCACATGTCCCCAGCAAGAACACAGAGCAGGATCCCCATGTATGCGCGTCCGCCCACCCGTAGGGCTTGGTAAACATGTGAGTCCTTGTTTTAGTGTGTGACACTCTGAGCAGGTGGTTCTGGCAGAGCCCTGAGTGTTGTCTAAGTGCCACCAGCAAGCCCAGTGCCCAGCCAGACTGGAGCCCTGAGTCCAGTGACCAGAGAGTGCCCAGGGTGGGTCTTACACCCATTTAAATGTCCTTTTTCCCTCAGAAAGAAAAGGGAGGACATATGTCATTAATTATGAGACATGATGTTGGGAGATTTGCATAGTGCTCTCTACCGCCAGGTAGAAGGTTCTGGTATCAGTTCTCAGCTCTGCATAGAGAACATCCCTGAATGCTGCTCTCTGACACTGTTCCCCAGACTGATTTCTCACTCACTTCTTGGAACGAACGATGGAATCCAGATTTTTCTAGTTTACACATAAAGTCATGTATATGCAATTTGGGCTAATTTTATTGGAGGGAAGGCCACAAAGCCAGGCTTGTGGCTACACAGCCAGGAGCAAAATTCACAGTCCACCCTCGGTCAGGTCCCTTGGAGGAACCCCTGCCCCTGCTGCTGGGGACAGATGCCACTGCTCACACCTCTGACACTCTGGTGCTGGACACTGGGCCCTGTGGTGAGGAGTGCTGTCACTGCTGTTCCTGGCAAGTGGACATCACCACTGCCACTTTTCCTTCTTTACCAAAATGTGTTCTGCACAGTACCAGCCTCTCTGTGTCACCTCGTCCTGGTCAGAGTCTGGCAGGTGGAGCCTCAGCCTCATGTCCGTGTTCAATGCAGAGATGATTGAAGAGTGTCCTTTCCTGTGGAGGGAGGCGGTTTCTGTCCCCTGTGAAGATTTTCAGTGTGCAATTTTGATATAGTGTGAGGGTGCAGGTGCTGGGAGGCGAGGGGTGGAAGAAGAATGACAAACTCCCGTCCTTGCAGCAGTGATGTGAGATTAGAGCTTCGTCTGGCACTTTGCAGGCTCTTGGTCGGCCGGATGAACAAGAGA